AAGAAACTGTGGCTTCGAGTGCTTGTGCCGTTTGTTTTGACTCTTTGTAAATACCCTTTTGTTAACGGGAAATTTAAAGACAGTGAAATAAAAAGCTGAATGACCCACGTGTGCTTCCAGTTTTTCCTTCTGCAGTTGCTGTGTGTGGCTGTGCTGCTGGACTGCCTTGCTAAGGTAGCGGTCCTCCAGATCCTGGACTCTGGTCTTCACCTTGTCCAACAGTTCCTCCAGCTCTGTGACCCTCTGACACTGCTGAGCTGCTCGGCTCATGTGCTCCTGAACCTCCATTCTGACGACACACAAAGCAAAGCATGTCTGCACCTGCTGACTGCAGTTTGTGTAGTCCTGAAGGCCCTGAACGGCTCGCTGAATACTTTATGACAACATGACTTCAAACTTCTACGTAAAATTAGTAAAACAGCATCAACAAGTTAAAATCTCAAAGGGTGAGAAAAGAAGAGCACATGTAGCCAGAAGAATGTGCCAGACTCTTACTCTGGATGGCATCACCATGTCGTCTAATAACACTGTGAGGAACCTTGGAGTCATTTTTGACCAGGATATGTCCTTCATATTAAACAAATATGTAGGACTGCTTTCTTCTATAGACCTCTCTGCATTGAATCATATCTGTTATTAACCTCTGTCTCTCTTCCACAGCATGTCTTTATCCTGTCTTCCTTCTCTCTCCCAACCAATCACAGCAGATGGCCCCGCCCCTCCCTGAGCCTGGTTCTGCTGGAGGTTTCTTCCTGTTAAAAGGGAGTTTTTCCTTCCCACTGTCGCCAAAGTGCTTGTTCATAGGGGTCATGTGATTGTTGGGGTTTCTCTGCTCTAATTTGGAGTCTTTGCTTGAGAATATAAAGCGTCTTGAGGAAACTGTTATCATTTGGCCCTATAAACATAAACTGAATTGAATAGAGCTGAACTGTTGGAGAAAAGCCAAGCACCAACAGAAACTGCCCGACACTTGGTGAGCATACATGCTCCATACAGACTCCATCTCAGCAGTGTGCCACCCAGTCTCACATTTCATGCCTGTACTGGTCTGTGAGGATCAAGAAATGTGTGTTCCTGATACTCATCTGATGTTGGAGAGGTTAAATGACAGCAGGACAGGTGGTCTATACAACACTGCATATACATTATTAATATCCAGCAGTAGCATTGCACATGTGTCACTGAAACAGACCCCAGCTCTCCTAGCCACGTTACAGGACAGTCTGAGGTTCAGTCCAGTAAGATGACATTCGTAACTGCAATAATGTCCTTGGGGTGGGGGGCTATTTACAGTTTCCATGTTTAAACAGATAGTTACAAACATGTTTCACTGAAAACATCACTAAATAACATCCCAGCACCACTTAGGATGTTTCTTACACAGTGCTGAACTTACTTGAGCTGGTTGTTGGACATGACAAGCTCCTGGATCAGGGCCTGCCTTCTCTCTGAGTCTGTGAGCATCACCCTCAGAGTTGTCCTCAGCTCAGCAGCTGACTTCTTGTCCAGAAGGACCAAATCTGCAAACACACAGACAGCCGTATACATTACTCATCAAATCACACTGACAAGCCAAACATTTTTGCTTAAAACTCAAAGTAGAATTTATAAACAAGTAAACAACAAAAAGACCATTTAAATCATTCTTTTCATTTAAAGTTGCATGTAATTTAAATCTATTGACATTTATCACAGTAACTATATTGTTGAGCCACTTTAATTTTATACACTCTGTCCTTAGCAGTCTTCCATTCTGATTTTTGTTTCTATGTATAGTTGTTACAGTCTTCAGCCTGATACGATTGTTCACTTTCGGTCACCGTAACACGTGACCTTTGATAAAGTCTCGTACTTTTATTCTTACCTGCAGGACTCTTATTCTCAGCGGGATCTGCAAAAAACACCGGTTTAAAACCATGATGTTGTAAACGTTTGTTCACGTCATCCCACTCCACTTGTTCCTGCTGCAACACACACAAAATAAAAGAAAATAAATACAGGCCATTTACAAACCGTCACTGACAGCGGAGTTCAACACTTTCCAGTTAACACAAATACAGCTCTACCTGAAACTGCTTGTAGCTCCACAGATAAACATATGTTTGATTTCTTGACTGTAAAGCATAAGTAGTCCTGAAGTCCATATCCACGCGTAAAAACGTCCCACTCAACGTAAACCCAGCTTTCATTAACAATGCAGCTCGTGTATCGGAGAGCGGTCAGTGTATGAAAGGCGATCCAACAACCCAGCAGCCTCGGACCACCTTAATCATGCTGTTTTAATCACGTAGCTTACCTGTTTCATCGGTTCGGTCTGCAGAAAGAAATCAACAAGTGTCCAAAGGGCTTCAGTGAAAAGCTCTTCTTTTGGCGTCTCAACACAACTCGGGAACCTTCGTTTAATGTATTCTTTAATCAGCCATTCACATTCATTCACC